ACTTTTTTAAACAAATGTATACCAGACCTTCAAATATCCTGATGCATATGAAAACAAAGATGAAAAAGAGAAGAAAAAAAAAGAACTTGAACAAATATAATCTATCCCCACCTTGGCATTCAGCAGAGCAACAAATTGCTCTTCGTTGCACAGAATTACCCATAGCATAGGCTAGGCCTAGCATGTCTATGCATAATATACATCGCATATCATTGACAGTTCGACGTGACTGGAAGCATGCTCTTGGCTCCCACGCCACCGTGCAGAATACGAAGTATTTACCCTTATGATGCAATACCTCTACACCTCTAGAACTACACATTTCGGTCCTCCTACACCTTGTTTTGATCAGTGCCGACATCAGGCAAAGTGGGTCGTCCTAATCCCGTTCAGTGGAGATGTTTACTATTCTTTATCAACACAGAACCGCTGTAACCTTTTCCCGGGGTCGTTAAACATGTTTTTTATTTGTTTGTTTTGTTGTTGTTTCGCTTACTTTCCTTGTCCTTGGGAGGTTGGAATCTTTAATAATATGTGTACCGGTACTCAATCATTGCTGAGTTCCTCCTTTTAATTTTACCCCTGGTGTAGCGCTTAGAAGACGCTTTGTCGTCGCACAACCAAGATGTGAGGTCCATTCCCGTGTGGAGAGGTTTTCTTATGGAGTACCCCCGTTGGGGGCTGCCCAGTTTGTCACAGACCTAGTTTGCCATAATTACAGCAATTTAACACTATAGTAAAACGTGGCCAACCCCACTGACACTACAAGAGAAGCTATACAGGCCGACAGATGAACTGAGCAGTACGCCCAATTTATGACAGATACCAGACTTCAAGTGTGATGCGATCGAGAAGAAGAAGAAGACGCTGTAGTTGTTACTTAATTTTTATATTCTCTACTTTCAAATTGGTGGCGTAGAGATAGTCCCTCTAAAATGTCAATTCAGCTTGAGTTGTTTCATATTTCTTCCTTTTTTGTGTGCAAATCAAAGGAAATTACTCTGTAGCCTAACATTTCAACAATGAATGTTCTTTCGTTAAAAACGATTGAAAAATTCAATTCAATTCATACAATCAATCTAACATTCATTTAGTCTTTTTTGAGAATGCCAGTGATAACTTCCATCGTGCAGGGCACAGTCGATGCGGGGTGGGCCTGTGACAAACTGGCACGCTTCCCCTCCGTCTGTCTTCTGTTAACTGTCTACAGGGACGTTGCATCCCTCTGTGCCCCGATGGGACCTGACCTGACAGACAGCGTTTAAGCAGTTCTTCTCTTCGGAGATCTAAATTGTAACGAAAGGGGTGTAAACCATCAAGAATTACAAAAGTACTTCTCGCTTTGTCAAGCGTGACGAAAAAAATGCTCTGCTTCGCTCACACAGGTGAAGGGAACATTATAATGTTATAGGCCTGAGGAAGTTTGGGGAAGAGGGTTTTCTCTGTGATGTAATTTCTTGTGTCACTGAAGAATTATACTGGGCCCAAAGAATTAATAGTAGTGCGCAAACCAGTCCCAATTTCAGAGGACTCAAGAGAGCAGTATGTGATGTCGCTCTTTTGTTTCAGTCGCTCTTGGTTGTATCACATGGGTTTACTTTAATTTTCTTTACGTAAATAAAAGCAAGCGCATTCTTCGACCTTGTTACAGTTAATCCAATTTCGCTGCTTGTCGCTTTGCAATATTGTTGTTGCTATTTTCTTTTTCTCATAATCATATTAATATTTATTCTTTCTTACTTTCGTTCTTTCTTTCTGTCTTTTTTTAACAGTACTTTTAACGACCAATTCTCCTTTGCATCCTTCTTTTGAGGGGAAAAGAG